TATGAATGCCAGATATGAATATCTAGAATATCCTTATAATGCCTATTCCTATGGTATAGATAACAAAAGAAATGTAACACTGTATTAGTGATAGAGTCTAACAAATGTAATCATTGCACAGATCAGAAGCGTCAAACCCTAAGGACATTCCAGATTTCTATGAAGTGAATGCTAGGTATCTCCTTAGCTGGTATTACTCATTCTGGGTGTGATGACTTAAGATCATCAGTTGAGAGCTGACTTCTACCAAGGCACCATGAGTGTCTTACAAATATGTATCTCACTCTTATTAGTGAGTGCTGTTTTGTGCCAGTATAGGGATCGAGTCTATAACCCTGGGAGATCGTGGTCCGGATCCACAAGATATGGGCAATCCAGGACATCTGTATCCTCATCAAGATATAACGTATATCGACCATTGGATACTTACAGGACACAGTATGGAAGCAACATTGTAACCCAGAATAGAAGTATTGTGTCTTCTACAAGTCATCAGTATGGACAAAATAACCCATCAAGGTCCCAAGCTACGTATACACAGTATAGTCATACAAGAAATCAGGGAGCCACAAGCAGTGAAAGGAGTGGATTTGGCACTGAAAGAAGTCACCAGAGTGTTCAAACAACAACACCTCCTCATGTAGAGTCATCCTATGGACTGACACACTATGGGACGCTTAAAGGCAGACAAGGTCAAAGCCGTAATAGGGGATCACAACCCAGACCTTATACCCCACCACAGGGCCGACTTGAAGGTCGACTTGGAAAGAAAAAGCAACGCATTGCTGGGGAAGGGTATGGGGAGGCTTATCTTGAGTGGTCAGAGTATGGCATAGGTGAGGCAGTCTATGATAAGAATTTCTATGGAATATATAGCGTAAATGATTGGTCATTTTTTATTTTTCAGAGATTTGTTCTTGCTGTTACATTCATATAAATGCTTAGAGAGTGCAGTAGTGTTCTTGAATATACTATGATTAGGAACTTGATGAATACTTCATCTTCACTGAATAAGGAATCTTATTAAAGTGCTCTGACTTTTTACTTCTTGATTAACTTTTACTATAAACCTGATTTTTGTATTTTTTTATATTCATAATATGGGTATTAGTTATTAAATTAGAATCAAGTTTGATTTTTGCTAATTATGTTACAACTACTTTGCAGGTTGTACATGTGATGAGTGTGGTACAAGGAACTGCCAACACTTCTCTGGTGTTTGTGAGTGTTACGAAAATGTCATTGGGAATGACTGTAGCGAATGTGCTCCTGATCATTGGGGCTTTGCTTCGTGTCAGGTATGGAAAGGTTTACACTTTCAGTTAAGATGCATTTTCCATGAAGGTTATTGGTATGCTGCCATAATAATTTATGTATAATTGATTAATTTCTTCCCATTACTTTTCTTCTGTAGGGATGTCAGCCTTGCACATGTGGTGTTGCCTCTGTCAGTACACAGTGTGATAGAGGAACAGGGCAGTGTGAATGCAGAAGTGGGGTAGGAGGTCAGCGTTGTACTCAGTGTAAGCCTGGCTACTGGAACTACTCTGAGAGGGGTTGCCAAGGTATTGATCACTTTACTTTCATTTCTTAAAAATATATTTTGGTTTATTGATTTGATTTCAGTTTGGGGCATTGTATACATCTATACTACTTATCAATAAATGTAACCTGCTGAATTACAGAATGCACATGTCGAGCTGGCTTTAGCATTGGTGTTGGGTGTGATCCTCTGACTGGACAGTGTTCTTGCTTGCCCGGTGTGATTGGAGCAAATTGCGATGGTTGCCCTTACAGGTAGGTTCTCTCTCTCACTTGACATAGATATAGCTAAAATTGAAAGAAAAGGCAAGAGGTTTTAATTACTTGTTAATGCTGAAAGGGACTGCCAATATTTGGACTAACAGGTACTAAATATTGCTTTGTTTTGCAGATGGGTTTTGATTGATGGTTTTGGATGCCGTGAATGTGATGAGTGTGTTCATGCCCTTCTCGATACAACAGATGAACTCTCACGCCTTATTGAACCCACTATTGTTGAATTTGAGGTGAATATAAAGCTATTGATATTATATATCCACTGATTAGAATTTTGCAGTACCGATTTGATTATAATTAATGTTGCTATTTTCAGTTACTATTTTTTATTTAGAAGAGATTAAGAGGGAAAGAAAATGAAGCTTTTAAGAGCAGTAAGGACCAACTAAATAGTTTTTATTGTAGGGTGCAATCCTTTAATATATCTTTGAAGTGGAAATTTTCCGCCATAATTTGCTGAATGATAAGAGAAATTTGACAGCAGAAAAGCAATAGGGAATGTTAGCTTGAAATTTGTATTTTTTGGGAATAGAAGTCTATATTTTGATGATATGTTGGACAAACTGTTCCATTGTTTGCTAAATAAGAATTAAAATTTTCAGACAAAGAACATATTGGGGATGTGGCACCTATTTTCAGTAAGACTATAAAAATTCCAAGACAAAATAGATATGTAATAAGATCATTTAGTCAAATTATAGTTGATTCAGTCATGAACTAATATATAATGTGTTCTCTTTCAGTCGGCAGCACACAGTTACTTCTTGAACCAGCGTCTTGAAGTCATCAACTCAACAATGAACGAGCTGAAACCAAAGGTGGCCCTTATGGACATTTCAGAGGAAGATACCAAGCCCATCCAAGATGAACTTGAGGCCATTAGGAAAGAGGCTCAGGCTGTGTCTGGAAGAGTTAGTATTTTTATATTTGGATTGTTTTTTGTTATTTTTTAGGAATTTATGGCATGATTAGAAATTTAGAACTATTTCTTTTTACATCATCATCATCTTCATTGTTGTTGTCATTATCCTTGTCACTGTCATCATCACTGTAATTGTAATCTGAATTCTCATTGTCAGTGTCATTGTAATCCATATTCTCATTGCCAGTGTCATTGTAATTTGTATTCTCATTGTCATTGTAATCCATATTCTCGTTGCCAGTGTCACTGTAATTCATATTCTCGTTGCCAGTGTCATTGTAATTCATATTCTCATTGTCAGTGTCATTGTAATCTGTATTCTCATTGTCAGTGTCATGGTACTGTAAATTTCGTTAATCATCTACCTTGTACTGACTACCCACCACCCACCACCCACCACTGTTATAGTCATTGTCACAGAGGTCGTTATCATGACATATAATCAAAACCTGTTTTCTAATCATTGCCTTTTCTATATGCAACAGGCAGGCATTGTGTTGGACAGAGCAGGAGACTCATCTACTGAAGGATTTGGTGTGCACAATGAAGCTCTGGATGTAGAGATGAAACTGAATGAAGCTTTCTACACTGTACGTGACATCATCGGAGAGATTAACAGGCTGGTCATTGGCCTGGAGACTGGTGCAGGTGAGGTGATGGATTTTATGGAACCAGCTAAACTGTCATTGTTTTTATTTTTATCATATATTTTTACTTTTTTTTTCTTAATAGCATTTGTTGTACGCTCTTGTTCATGCCTCACCCTTACTCTTACCCTCACCCTCACCCTCACCCTCACCCTCACCGTCTCCTTGTCCCTGCCTCCTAACTTTACCTGCACCTTCACCCTGACCTCACTCTCACCCTAACCCTTAATGTTACCCTTACCTTTACCATTACCCTCACCCTTACCCTCACCCTTACCCTCACCCTTACTTTCACCCTCACTCTTACTCTCACCCTCACCCCCACCCTTAACCTCACCCTTACCCATACCTGTACCTTTACTCACAGCCTTACCATCACCATTACTATTACTATGACTCTTACTGTTACCCTCAAACTTACCCTTGCTTCACCCTCTCTATTACCCTCACCCACACCTTCACCCTCATCCTCATCCTCATCCTGACCCTCACCCTCACCCTCACCCTCACCCTCACCCTCACCCTCACCCTTACTCCCACCACCCCACCAGCACTCTCACAAACATAGTTTTGTTGCTAATTAGATATGTTGACATATTTATTATCCAGATTAATTAGATGCACTGTGATTGCAAATGATGGATGGAGTATTGCAGAATGAATGTATTCAACACTATGATTTTATTTATATTTTAAAGATGATTAATGGTAACAGAATACAAAAGTAATCATAGATATGTGGAGAATGAAGTAGAGGAAGTAAAGAATAAGGCAAAGTAATTTAAAGTCTTTAAAAAGTTACTCTTGAACACATTATGTTGCAGGTGCCCACCTTGAGCAAGCCATTAATGAAGCAGAAATTATCGTAGACGTCATGCAAGATCGCAACTTTGAGGAATTCCGTGATAAGGTGGAAGTAGAATTGGAATTGGCCAAAGAACTGTTGGACATGATCAACCAGTTTGCTGAGCCAGTTAAGGTTAGAAATTCGCCCTATAGGTTTTTGAATTAGAAAACTATTGCTCAATATTTAAAAGATATCTTATTAATATTCTTTGTGCTGCTGATATTGCCCCAAGGAAAACCTACTATTCCTTTTCTTCAGGAATATTATAAGCAAGTTGGTGCTTACTCTGATCAGCTAAAGGACTTTGATAAAAAGCTGGAGGAAATGCAAGGTTTCATTCAGAAGGCCCAGATGCAAACAAGAGATGCTGAGGAAAGAAATCGTAACAATAGATTATTTGGGTAAGAGTCATTTGTGTGAGTAGCATGCTGCTGTGTTTATTACTTTTACTGTTTTTAAGATTGAGAAAATTTGTTAGTGAAAGCCTTGGAGTTTCAAAATTCATGTAACAAAAATCTGCACAAAATTATGAAACATTTGGTGTAGGCATTTATTTTAAATGTGGTCTTGGAAAGTTTTAGTCTTAGGAGGTAATGAAGCAGAAATATCTGTATCTGTATTTATGGCAACAGTAATGACCAATGGCATATAACTAATTGTATATTTTTATATATGAGATTGGTATTTACCTAATAAGTAAATATTACCTATTAAATGCCATGGTACCCATGTAGCATCTGAAACTGAGAGAACGAAGACATTTACA